CCAATTGCTCTTGTCATAAACATTCCTTGGACCTCAGTGGCTAACTGAGCTGAGAGAACACTTTGTACATGTTGTCATATACGAAAGTGCACTATACCTTTTGACAAAGATACTGGTTTCACAACGGTCTGGGTTGGATTCAGTGTTCTTCAGAAGAACTTCAGAATGGAATACAATGGAAAATCATAGTATTGAGGGAGTAAAGCTCCATGTTCAAGCTCAAAGACCAAAAAATGTACAATGGGATCAAACATTGGATGAAGACAAATATTTCTGAAAAATTATTATTCATTAAGTAAAGCAAACAAAACTGAAAAAAGTCATTTAGATCTCCAGAACTATAAAATAACAAATTTATATTGTTTTCAGACACTAAGTTTGTGGCAATTCGTTATAATGGCAACAGGAAACTAATATGATAATCAACTAGTCTCAAAATTCAGTCTTTCCTATCTTTGATTTTCTACTTCTAATCACTTTCTGTGCCTTACTAATCTACTTAAAAGATATCTTTTGCTCCTGTTACTACTGATTCAGGTTAAGATTTCATTGTAACTTATTGGGACAGCAGTGATGTCAAAAGATTCCATGAGCAAGGAAGATTATGGCAAAGTAGATTGTTTCTCCCTTAAAAGTATTATAAACATTTACGTAAATCTGTTGTGTACATTCAACTTCCATAACGCCTCTAGCCACTTCCCTCTATCAAATAAACTTCTCCCCATTCTTCCTATAGGATTCTGGGGACAGTTATTGTTCCTTGTTTGGATAGCCCACTAATTAGTACCATTGTATTCTTGCTTCCTAGAATCCAGTCTCTCTTGGGGGTTGAACAATCTCTTCATTCTATATGTTTTGCCTTTATTAACTGGTCATCACCATACATTTCAAATTAAGCTGGATGTGGTGGTTCACAACCATAACCCCAGGACTGGGGAGATGGAGGGAGGAGGATCATCAATTCCAGGCAAGCCTGAAGCACATTGCAAGATCTTATCTAAACTTTTTTTTTCTTAATATAGTCAAATTTTTTCATGGCTTCCTTTCCAGGCTTCATCTGTTGCCACTACCTGATTCTCATCTCACTTTGTAGCTATTAGTAAACTGCCTATAGTCATTAGATACAATATGTATTTCTGTTGGTCTTTACTTGTCTAGATTATATTTCTTTTCTCTTCCTTTCTTCCTTTCTTTCCTTCTTTCTCCTTCCTTCCTTTCTTTCTTTCTTTCCTTTCTTTCTTTCTTTCCTTTCTTTCTTTCTTTCTTCTTTCTTTTTCTTTGCCAGTCCTGGAGCTAGAACTCAGGGCCTGGGGACTCTGTCCTTTCCTCCTCCTCCTCTTCCTCCTTCATTTTTGTCGGTCATGGGGCCTGAACTCTGGGCCTGAGCACTGTCCTCAGCTAGCACTCTACCACTTGAGCCACAGCACCACTTCCATTTTTTTCTGCTTATGTGGTGTTGAGGAATCAAATCCAGGGCCTCGTGCACTCTACCACTGAGCCACCGTCCCAGTCCCTAGATTATATTTCTTCAAGGGAAAGAAAGTGAAAATTCTAATAAACTTAAGACATCGCGAGAGCCTTCTCAAATTATATACCCTTTCCAAACTATTAAAAATTTATTTTTCTGTTGTCTCTCCCTTCACATGCTTCTATTTATAATGTAACTGTAATTTTTTGTATTTTTCACTCACTATTATGTTAGATCTCCAAAATCAGAAATATGTAAATTCTTTATAGTTCCAACAAATAACACAGTACCTCACACTTGGAAAATGGTACTTTAATTGAATAACATCATCTTTTTAGCTAGTCATAATTTGTTTCCAGCAATTCTGAACTCAGGGCTTTTCCCTTGCTATACAGGCACTGTACTGTTTGAATCATGTCTCCAGCTCTTACAATCTATCTACATGGTGACATTTGTTTGTTGAAGGCTTGTTGTGAAAATGGAGACAAGTTCTTTTCCTCATTTATTGTATCTTCTACCCCAGGGATTATATAAACATGTCATTATTATACTAGGGAAGTTATCAAATTGGAGTGTATAGAAGGAAGGGTGACAAAGAAAGATGCTGTTATAGAAATAAAATATAACAAGTAGTAAAGTAATTAATGTCATTATGAAGACATAAGAGCTGCGCTCAAATATTGTATAGGTTTTAGGATGGAAGAGAGTCAGGTAGATTTTATTCTTTATAGCTATAGGCATAGAAGTGGAAAATGGAGATAGATTTGAGCACACTGTGAGGAAGGAGAACAAAACTGTATCAAAATTCACTTTATGATTTAACAAAAGTTTCTTTGAACACTTGCTATGTATTAGGCATAGTTTTAGGCACCAAAGAGTCAATGAAGATTCCTGCTCTCACATAGCTTATAAGTGAGGGAAAATGCTGAACATACAAACAGCAAATCAAAGGATGACTGACCAATCTTGTGCAGACAATGAAAATAAAATGCTAATAATGACTGGCTGGTTTTTTTGCATTATATAATATGGGAAGATCTCTCTGAGAGATGATATTTACACTGATTTATCTGGTAGGAAGCAGCCATAGGATGATCTGAGGGAGGAAGATTTTTAGCCAAGGAAGCAGTTCTACGGCCTTAAGGCAGGAGAGAACTTTTAGGATATTTTTAAAAAATCAGGTTTGCTAGATGAAATATAGTGGTCAAAATGGTGAATAACAAGACTTGAGAGGAATTAGAGCCATTCATGTAAGGCTTTATAGAAAGAGGTGTTCTTGACATATTTATACTGGTAAAATCTTGAAACGGTTTCAGCATGGACATTAAGAGCTACTTTATGCTTTAAAAATAGTGTTCAGTTGTCCACTTGGAGTATATTACATAGATTGTGAGGGAAAAGTAAAAGCTGGGATGATCTTTAAAATCTATTGCTGATGTCTAGGTAAGAAATAATGGTAGCTTCACCTGGGATAGAAATGGAGCAGATGAAAATAAGAAGAATTAGGACATGTCTTGGAGATAGTCAAAATAATTGTCTTCCTCACTATGTACTAAAATCTGTCTCTATTTTTCCACTTCTATGCCTATAGCTACAAAGAACAAAATCTACCCGACTTTCTCTTCCACATAAAAACTGATACAATATTTGAGTTACAACTCTTACATCTTCATAATGACTATTCTACTACCTGCTATCTTTTATTCCATAACAGCATCTCTCTTGCTCACCCCTCCTTGTATACATGTATACACTCCAATTTGTTAAATTCCCTAGTATAATAATGTGTTTACTTAATCCCTGGGGTAGAAGAGATTGGCAGGAAAAAAAAGAATCAAGATTAAATCCCAAATTTCTGGCTTCATCAACGGAATAGAGCAACAGGGGCTATTAATAAGACTGAAATTTCAGGGGGAGGATTTTATTGGTAGAGAGTGGGATTAATTAGCTCAATGTTATCTTTTGTTTGTATTAGGTTTGAGATGCCGTGCTGCAATGAAGGTAGACAGTAGAGGGAGTCTGGAGCTCAAGAAAGGTCAGAGCTACATTGTTTTTTGAGTAATTGATATATATATATATATATATATATATATATATATATATATCTTTTTTGATTATGCAACTGGAGAAATCCTTTCAGGAAACTGAATATGAGAGAAACAGAAGATCCAAGCAAAAACCTAACTCACATCAGGAAAGTTAACTCACGAATGGTACAGTTGTTCAAGCAAAGATGTGAGAACCATCAAGGGATGTCCTGCCAGAGGTTGCTGCCAGAATAAAGGGTTGCCAATAAATTCTCAGACTCTGCTCAAATTTAAAATTCTGTGACAGTGAAAGTTCCAAATAATGTGATAAGTAGAATTGGCTAGTAATGAGTTTGACCTTGTGAGTGCATCTAAGTCAAAATTTATTAATTTAAAATCTGTCTCTTAACTGGCTGTTAATTATATATAATATAGCTCAGGTATAGAGGATTTGCTAAGCAAGTGCAAGGTACTGCGTTCAACCACCAGCACTACACAAACAGACAAAAAATCTGTTAATGGTCCTCTATCATCATTGGAATTTTTCCTCTCTCCTCCATATTTTTTCATTTATTTTATTCTCTATTTTACTACATTTTTCTTTCCCATGGGCTTTTCAAAGCACATAGGCATTACTTACCCCAGCTTTTGACACTATGAATCCCTGCTATAACTCCAAATATAATAGTAACTTAAAACCACCAAAAGTGATAATTAGATGGCTATTTGTTGATAGTTCCAAACCACAACTCTTGTTTTGTGTGCATGAATAATCATTAAGGAACATAATGCAGGAGTTCTCCAATAGCACAGTAAAACACAATTAACAAACATCTCTGCTTTCTGCAGAACTTAAACTGTTCTTATCTGTCTACTGTACACCAGAGTGTGTCCATGTGCTTAGTGCAGTGCTACCCACATGATGTGAGCAATAAACACTGCCTTGAATGAATGAACAAATGTACATCTGGTCTAATCAAACTAATACATAAACCCAAAGAATAAGTTGAGTTAGACTAAGTACTTGGGAATCTGTTTCAGACTTTACAGAGAGATCACAATGCACATCTTTTTATAAGACCTTCAGTATATTTATTAGTAGGTTGACATATTTGGACTGTTGCACACTGCAACATGTCATTGGCTCTTATTTTGTTCAATTGTAGAGAATGTGGAGTCAACTTTAACCATATTTAACATAAAAATAGAACTTTTTAATATGCTTAATAAGTTTTAAAAATATTCTAAGTGACGGATGGAAGGGGTGCACAACACTCATAAGTCACATGTTGAAAGAAACCACATTTGTATAATTAGGTAAAGATAATAAAAATTTAAAAATATATTACAATGAAGATGTATACACATTGTCACTTGTGCTTTGAAAATCAACTTACACATATAAACATATAACTTCAGTGTATGAAAAAGGAAGAGGTCATAGTATTATAGAAAACAGTATCTTTGTGTAGTGAGGGAAACGTACTTATTTTTTTTAAACCTACATTTTCTAACACTACATTTCCTTGAACAGTAATATGTAAGCTGTATAGTACAAGACTGCAAATAAATCATTAGGGTATAATGTACACACAAGTAAAACATTATTTTTCATATAATTCAGGAATGTAAGAGTAAAGAAACTATTGAGCAACTAAGTCAATATTTCTTATTCCTACATAAGCACTAGATGTACAACTTTTTGAAAAAAGGAGTAGTGTACTCTTATAAAAATAAGCTTGTTACTCTATTGTAAAAACAGTTGAGATTATTACCTCCATATAAGTGCCAAATTACAGCTTCTGTCTTGAACATAGTCTTTGGTTTTCTTGAGGAGCAATTCCACAAAGTCAGGATTACCTTTTCTGGCAAAAACCCAGTATAGAATTGTATTCACACATATTTCAGTAAATTCAAGATTAAAATTTAGTTCAAAACGGTATCCCGATTTTTCCACAAATGCAATATAGTCTGTGAGTAGTATGTCAAACCCATCGAGGTCGACATACCTCAAAATTTTTGCCAGTGTTCGGTAAATCCTAGGTTCATAGCAATGATATCCCCACTGACCCAAAAACTGCAAGGATGGTCGCTTAACAATTTTTTCAATGAGATTGCAGAATATATTGCCTCTTGGAAAAGAAGTCTTTCGACATAGTTTAGAAGATTTACTCATTGCTTCGTAAGGCACAGTGTAGAAACAATGTCACAGGTAGTCATACTCTGTCCCTCCCGTTACATATTTTGATATGTTACACTCAGAAAGTGCCCTTTAAGCTGCATGCAGGAAAAAAAACAGATGCATTATTACCAGGACTTACTGGATGACATCACAATAGATGAAGATCTGTCATCAGCACAGGTCAGAAATTTGGGATATTATATGTAACTTGGAGATATTTGAGAGCGACACACTCAACAAATGGTAGGCAAAAAAAAAAAAAACTTTCCCAAAATTCAGCTTGGTCTTGTGTGTTTTTCAAGTGTTCAAAGCACAGTTTATATATTAGACTAACTGATACTGTTCTCATGTTCTCCATGAATTCTTCTTGTTCTCAATTATCATTGGTTATTTCTCTTATTTTATAGTTGAGATTGTTTAGGCACTATGTTGTCCCTCTGAGAGAGAAGGTGTAATGCAATATTAAGAAACTTAATTCCAGAATTTTGAATTTTATAGAAATGATTTCTCTTTGAACCAGGCAAAATATATACACTTTGGGCATTAAAGGTACTTCTTGCTTGAGGGTTGGAGGTTTTTCCTAATGATTATAGTACTTGCCTACCATTTGTGAGGTCCTGAATCTGACAAAAAGGCTTCAAGTTCATATTCTTGACCTAGTAAAATAAAGGAAAATATGTCACAATTGTGTCATCATTGTTTACTAGTTCATGTTTCTTCTACCTTTTTATTACCATTCACAAAATGATGAGTCTCAATTCTAATAATCCTGAGTATATGTATTTGTATTCTAAAGGTAGCTAAATGTGTGATTTCTCTTTAGCAAGAGAAAATTATAACTTTGGGTTCATTCTGATAGGCTGCATTAGATTTTGTAAATTCTGAATTTTTCATCATGATAACAATACATGTTGTCATCTCTCCGAAACAAGTATCTAATCCTTTTTCTCCATCTCAAAATACATTTTTTTGGGGGGTCTGGTCATGGGGACTGAACTCTGTGCTTGGGTGCTGTCCCTCAGCTCTTCAGCTCAAGGCTAGCACTCTACCACTTGAGCCACAACACCACTTCCGGCTTTTCTCTTTTTGCTTATGTGGTGCTGAGGAATCGAACCCAGGGCCTCAGGAATGCAAGGAAAGTGCTCTACCACTGAGCCATCTTCCCAGCCCTCAAAATAAATTTTAAAATCATTGAAATATTTGTGTTGACTTGTCAAACTTGAAACATAATGGAGTCCGTGAAAATCTCTGAGATATTCATGTTAGTATTTTTATCAGTAGTATTTCAAGTATTTTACACAATTTATATATGGATATTCATATATAAATAAATTGACATTTTTATACTAATGGAATAATCGATTCTATGAGCTGATTTTTATTTACATAACAATGTATTTGTGGACGCTTTTGTATGAGCATATATAACTCTTAAAACCCACTTACTGAATTCTTGTTGCTGTTTAAGTACTTTATATATTAAATCCTTCAATATTTTTAATAACTCCATAGATAAGGAAACTATGGTAAATAACTTCATGGGCAAGAATGACTTGCTCAAGATGAAATGTCTACCATGTAGTGAAACTAATGTTTCAGGAAAAATGGGTTTAGAACCTTTACTTCTATTCTCTTAGTTATTCAAAAAATGAGACCTACCTTTTGTTTTGTTTTGTTTTGTTTTTTTATTTAGTATTACACCACCTAATATTTATTGTTTAATATTTTTTATCATAAAGATACTGTACAGAGGGGTTACAGTTAACATGAGTATGGTAATGAGTTCTTTTTTTTTTTAACCAGTTCTGTGGCTTGAACTCAGGGCATGGGCTCTGTCCCCAAGCCTTTCTGTGCTCAAGGCTAGCTCTCTACCATTCTCAAGAGGTAGAGTTTTTTCTCTTATGTGGTATGGAGGAATTGAACTCAGAGCTTCAAGCATGCTAGGCAAGCACACTCTCATTTTTATGGCTAATTTATGAATAAATTCGTCATGAAAGAAGAGCTCTATAATTAAATATCAATAAAACAAAATATAAACAAAGAAAATTAATCCTATTTGGGAGTCAAAGTAGTTCAGAATATACATGAAAGGAATGACAGTGTAAATGTCTGGACTACTGAATTGAGTGAATTTTCTTCATTTCCTTTATACATTTTTTTAATTTGAATGTCAGTATGTTAATTTTTATAAGTAAAAAACTAGTCATGTTCATGTTGACTATAATAACCAGAACATAATAGGTCATAATAGTACTGACGAGTTCTTTAATTTTTTTAAAACTTATAACCATTACTGATAATGAATATTAAAAAGTTAAAAGAGTACTGTTTTGATTAACATATATTAAATTCTGATTAATAATACCTGCTGAAATATATTGAGCTCTTAATTACTTAAAAACAATGCTAGACAAGTGTTTATATATGCCTTTTGTCATTTAATTCTCATGTTATTCTGTAATATTATACCCACTTTATGGCTAAGAAGGTTTATTATTAGATTATTAAGTCAGATGTCATACAGCTAGGAGCAGTGACGGGAACCAAAATTCTACTAACAATTCAGGTTCTTTGTGCTCAGCTGCCATTACATAGCCAAATGTATCTAATATGTCTCTTCTTCATGAAAATTCCTCAAAAATGTTTGTTTAATGGCACTACAAATATTTTCAATAGCTTTAATAAATGTTTTGTCTTAAAGAAAAATATTACACATATCATTCCTACATTTTATTTTGAGAAATGGTGAGATGCTGTGTGCTTGCTCTTGAGACAGGCTTGCTTTGTAAAAGCCCAGGCTGACTCCAACTCATGATCCTCCAGCCTCAGCCTCCCTAGTGCTGTAATTCCAGACATGTTTCACCAGGTTTGGCAAGCTAACTTTTTTAAAAAAAATGATTTAAAATTAACATGAAAATAAAATGTATATTGACCTCTATGTGTTGTATATCAAGAGCTTCATAAGTCCCTGTGTGATCTGGAAGATTTACACTTGAAATCATTATCACACAATAATCCTTTAAGTATTTTTCCTTTAATAAATCCATCACATTTCGTTTTTAAGAAAACAGATTAGAAGAATCTCAGAACAATAGGGACGAAGGAAGTTAAATGTCACAACCTCCTGACAGGAGTTCTTTTGCTCTACCTGGATAGAAATTACAGGCAGGTAAGGACGTACATGCAGGTGTCAGAGTAGATGACAATGAACGGTAACAGGCAGGCCTGGATTTTTGCCAGTTAGGACACTGGCCCAGTGTTTGGACCTCAGGATTCCAATCTGAGGTCTGAGTTGCTAAGGTGGCAGCACGAGTTTGGGAACTCAGGCCCAAACAGCTACATAGAGCTTGGAGTCCTAGTATAAACTCCCTTTGTACCCAGGTGATCAAATATTCTCTGCTGCCAGTCACTGCTTAAGTTTACCATTCCTGCCAGTTTTTCCAGGACTACTCAGCTTGCTGGCCTGTTGTTGCACTGCAGTCAGTCAAACTTCCTTCCAAGCCATTCTTGTTTCCTTTTTCATTCTCTGCTCAGCAAAGGCCAAAAGACCACTTTATTTGGATCTGATGCTGTAAAGTCACAGGAGCAGTAAGTGTTATTTCCCATTTGCTCACAAAGTGAATTGAGCACTTGCTTATATATAGCCAGAAGGGTGAAGGAACACTAATATCGAAGTTTCCCTTACGTTTGCAGTAATCATGGTCCACTCCATTATGCAAATGAAGGGCTATGTTGGCACCAATCACATGTCTTCCGGTGAGTTCAATTCCTCCTCCTCTTAAACCTGTCTGGTCTGAGGCAGGGATTGGGAGGAATGGTAGTGTGTCTGTTATATTTCCGTTGGGACAAAGGGCAGGCGGTACCTTCTGGAGCTGGAGTCCTGTAGCCTGGACCAGGAAGATAGTCTCACAGCTGTCAATTAGGGGCATAAGTCTTCTCAACACCAAACGTATCTTCACATTATAAGAAAAAATTATAATATTTCAGAGGTTTATCAGTAAGAGTAACAGTATTTAACGGTGTTCTAATAGTGTTTAACTTCTGTCCCTGGGAGAGCTATGACCCTACCATCTATTACATAAAGGATATGGCAGAAAAGCAATAAACATCTGGGAAGTAGCTATCCACCTGAATAGACACATCAAGGACAAATACTGGCTGAGCACTTTCACCACAAATGAATTTTATATCATAGGTAAGTGACTTAATTATAGAATCTCAACAAACTACAAGACAAATGCCAACACACAAAAATGACATTTTAATTGGCTTGGTAATACTTTATATTGGTTAAATATAACTGTGAAAAGGGGCTGGGAAGGTGGCTCAGTGGTAGAGTGCTTGCCTTGCATGCTTGAAGCCCTGGATTCGATTCCTCAGCACCACATAAGCAGAAAAAAAAGCCGGAAGTAGCGCTGTGGCTCAAGTGGTAGAGTGCTAGCCTTGAGCTGAAGAGCTAAGGGACAGGGCCCAGGCCCAGAGTGCAGACCCCATGATCGGACCCCCCCCCAAAAAAAAGCCCCAAAAACAAAAAATATAGCTGTGAAAATATTAAGGTTGCAAAAAAACCTATAATATTTAAATTTATTTTATATATGCTATATAATATATAATGTTAAAGCCTTTTCTAGGGCTTTGCCATTTTTATACCATTCAACCTTAATACTGATTTACATATCTAAAAGATTAAAGAAGGAAGGGGTGACATTGTTCAAAAGGAAATGTACTCTTTGCCTGACTTATGTAATTGAAATTCCTGTTTTTAGCACTTTCAAATAATAATAACAATAACAACATCAATAATACTAAAGGTTAATAAATAAAGCTATAAATGAGAGAAGAGGGCTTTTTGAACATCATTCATGCTCTACCTGTTCATTTATCTATTGTTTATCTATTGTTGGTAAGCCCTCTACCACTTGAGCCACATATTCAGCCCTTGTTGCTTTGTTTTTTAGATGAAGTCTTATATTTTATGCCGGAGCCAGCTGTGG